TCTCTCTCTCTCTCTCTCTCTCTCTCTCGCTCTGACACATACCGGGCCGCCAGTGAGAAGGATCGGGTGTGAGATATGACTGAGAATTCATTTTGAAAGTCCTGTTGTGCGGGCAGTGAAACACGCATTCCCGTCAAACTTAGCTCATGGTTCACGCGATACACACCGTTTTGCACAGCCGTTAAGTACATCAGACAGTCGTTGAACTAATAATGCAAATATAGTGATGAGAGGCCAAGTATGTGGTGATGATGATGGTGGTAGTGGACCAAACATGGAGACACAAAAACATACAAACAAATTAATAGACTGACCCAACAAAATAAACATGTATATAAATAACTATCACCCAGGAACTTACCAATATGAACCACCTGTCCTGCATGCCTTTGCGGGACAGTTTCATGAGTTCACCCTCTTTGACGAACACCCTGCCGGGTCGAATCACCTCGGTGCCGCCAATAATACTATTCTGTATGCTGAGCAATTTGCTAATATTTTCATTATTTTTCATCGAGTTGTTTGCGTGTTCGGCCACTTGTGACACAATGGTCAGCGCACGGCACGTGTCTTCGTAGTCGGGCGAGTCGGGCGCCAAGTGCGATAAGTAGTCCTGCAATAGTAGCCTATACTGTGGCAGCCGTTGTACTGGTTTTAGCATATAGTGTTTGACCGATAACTTCTGGCACCGGGCGGTCGACTCAAACTCTTTGACGGCTGCGGCGAACGCCGGGTACCGTCGCTGGCACTCGTCATACGCGGCCGATATGTGCTCGAAGTCCCGTATGTATAGCGAGTATTGTTTGAGAAACGGGCATATCTTGACTAAAACATCTAGAGAATACAACAACATGTTAATTATGTTTTAAAATGGCATAATATTGGTATAACATTCTACTATAATTTTAACATGCTTTAAATTATATAAATTATGTATACAAGCTAGTTTAAATTCACAATTTACAACAATTATCAGTTTATGAATTAACTAGTTTAAACATATTTCAGATTAAATAGTTAAATAAGCTAAAAACTAAACTAATTAACAATTATGATTCAGGCTTACCGGATATGCGCTGATGGTTAGGCCAGTCGTCTATCCTTGACTTGAGATCTTTGACCAGTTGTTCATTAATTTGTAGTAATTGTGGCAACAATTTCAGTATGGATTGGAGCACCTCATCGGGTATATGGGGCTCAACCGCCGCCCGGAAGTCGGTGTTCAACAAATGTAGGACATCGATGAACACCTCTTCACTCGAGTACAGCTCACGTGCGATGAAAAACAGTTTTTGTTGTTGTTTGCGGCGCTGGTAGTCGGGCGAGCGCCTGTCCAGACTGTCGGCGCCACCGGTGGCCGTACTGGTGCTCGTGTTTGTTGGCTCCGAACTTAGCGAGTAGTCGTCCCCTTCGGACGATGTGTCCGCCGGTGTTGTCTGTGGCGATGATAGCGAGTCCAATGAATGTGAATGTTGTATGATTAGCACCGGTGTGTGCGGTGGTGATGAAGGGGGTAGCGGTGGTGTTAGGTCACCCCCTACACCGCCGCCGTTCCCATTACTAGGGTTACGACTGTCGGTTGTTATGTCACTACTACTCGTATTAGTCATTAGTGTCTGCAAAATATTGTAGTGTTTTTTGTTTTATAGATTTTTAGTGAGTGAGTGAATGAGTGATTAAGAAAGAAAGAGAGAGAAAAATAAATACAATAAATAATTATTTATAAA